CTACTGGTATAAACCTTATCACTGCAACATGGCCTTGGCCGGAATAGCGTTGGCCAGGTCACCTTTGCAGTCAAAATTTGCCTCCCCCATGGACATGAAGCAAGCAGCATGCTACCCAAAAGCCTTGCCTACCTCTTGTTCATCCCTAAGATGATGTTATACTTAACAAGCTCCATGGTCTGTAAAGAGAGCAATCAAACAAAAGCTTCTCTGATTAAGTTAGTTGTGGCACAAATATATTGGCAGATGTATGTGGTTTTTAAATCCTCCTGCCATTGTGAGAAGATAAAATTCCCAACACAAATGGCAACTCTGCAGCAAGTTTCTAACATAATTATAGTAATTATATTGTCTCTGCACTCCCTTATAAATCAGTGACAGTATATATTTAATGAGCTCTTTCCTGTTCAGCAGGTTGCTCCCAGCCACTCAGATTTGCAACTGCAATGCAGAGTTATCTTAAAATAACATTAACCCTTGGAAGTGAGGTCCCTTTCTACAGGGATGCAGGCAAATCTCTTGGAGCAGGGCCTGACACTACACAACCTTTCCTGCACCACTGGAACACATAAGCAGGCTTTGGAGCAAGCCCTCTGTGCAGATCTGATTTGCCTTGAATAAAATTTTACTGGTTCTGCCTGTGTGAGCTGGATGTGGTGGATGTGAGTATTGTCAGAATGCATATAACCTGCATGCAGGTTACAAGCAGCTGAGCCCAAAATGGTTTATGTTTCACAATCTGATGCTGTGTCCTGTAGGAAAGCCAAGGGATTTTCTTGTCTTTTCACAGCAATCAGATGTAGTCCATCGGCTGTGTCCATGCACTGCTGGAGGCACAGCAGGACATGTGAGGTGGTGCCAGTGCTCTCTTTACACAAGAGCGTGCAGCTGCCCCAGGCTGCTTGGCCAATCCCATGCATCCCAGTCAACAGGGAGGTAACACAGGTTGCTCTGGGGACATGCTGCATGTGGGCCATCTAAAATCCAGCACTTGTCTGCAGAGAAGCCTTTTACATTTTCACTCCAGGCAGAAAGACAGTTAATCATGTCTCTCACTGCATGCACATGATGAAGTAATCCCCTACCTGGCAGGAAAGCTCACGTGAACCTGTACACTAAAACACCATCACTGCAAACCTGGATGAGACCCTTACCTGCATCCCTTGCTTCATCCCCATAAACCGGCCCACTGACACACAGGGAATTTGACAACTCTGAAAACTGAAAATGGGTGCACCCAAAATGACCACAGCCAGTGGTGCCCAGTGCCCCCTGCGCAACGAATTTGCCCCTCAGCCTTTCCCAGCAGCAGGCTTGGCACCAGCTCCTGTTCATACCCTGCTGGGACCTCCAAGAGGCCTGATGAAATCCACAGGCTCAAGCAGTGGTGCTTTTTACAAAAACAGTGCACTGTGTCAATCTTAATAAGAGGTGGCAGCAGGAGAAAAACGGTTTGGCAAACTTCTTTCAAATCCAGTCTATTTATTCATTTTAAATATAGTTGTATGGATTTGGGGTAGCTCCCTAACTGTTTAGAAGCCTCAAATATTCAGATTTATGCCTAATTTATTTTCTGATATCTATCATGAGATACATGCAGCTTTCTTCAGTGCAGCTTTTCTTCTTGAATCTCAGCTTGTCAAAGGAAAAAGAAAGTAATTTCAGCAGATACCATCTGTGCAGCTCTGGATTTACTTAAGCATCAAATAATACAAAGTACCAATTCAGAGTTCAAGCCAAACACATGCGAGCCTAAAATCTGTTTCCTGGGCTCTATAAAGTTAAGTCAGCCCAAAATTTTAAACATGACTTAAACTGTCCTCTTTACATTTTTTCCCGTTACTGCTAATCAGCAGTGAATATATTTGATCTTCAGATGCTTTACAGATTAAGGGGTTTCTCTGGCTTGGGCTGGACCTGCAGTTTTGGGTCAGCACATCACCCTGACCCAAAACTCACCCTGATGCCAGGATGTCCCTGAACTGCAGACCAGCACAAACCTCCTAGGGGACGTACCTCCATCTCGGGAGGCTGATGGCCTAAGTGGGGAAACAGACACCTCTTCCTACCACATATCCCTTCCCCTGCAGCAACAGGGGAAACTTCAGAAACCATCCTTTTAAGCATGAAGATAAACCAATCATGAAAATCAGATCATTGCATGGAGAGCCTGTGGATGGGCTGTCCTTGCCTGCAAAGCCTGAGTGCTTTTAACTCGAGACAAGGAGAGGAATTAAGGTCTTCTCCTGTGCTTATGTGTGTTTGAGACCCACATGTGAGCAGGATGTTTTGCGCTTCACCACTTCTTTTGTTGTGACGCTCAAACGATTTCCCACTGAAAACCAACACGCTTGTTGTTGGTGTCTTAGTAGAGGAAATTAAATCTGACATTTCAGTGTTATTTGATTTCACATCCCTGTACACCATTGTATAATTTCTCCACCTACTCATTTTTTTTTCTTCACGCACAAATGCATTTAGAGAAAATACAATCCTTGAACGAATACTTAGTCAGAGAAAGGTTGTAATCAGCTGGGATAGAAATCAGACAGTTTATTTGCTTGAAAAACAAGGAAAGGAGGCGGAAATTAAATGGAATCCTTTCTTTCCTGTGAACTTAGGGCACCAAAAAATTGTATCAGAAAACTATAACATGAGAAGAAAAATAGTTGAAAAACTTCGCAGGCAACAGTGCTCCTGAGCTATTGCACTAAAAATAACACGAAGGTCGAAGATCTGATTCATTAGATGTCTTCTGTGTTCATCAGAAAAAAAAAAAAGCTACAGAAAAAGACTCACAAACTTTTCCGAGAGCAAAACAACTAGATGTCCCACGTAAATCATTGGATATATCAACATTTAGAGGTCAGAGAGGTAGCAACTGAGTCATGCTGGGAGAACATGCAGAATGTAGACACCTAAGATCAAAACTGGGATTTGAAAAGTTCCTCCACACTGTCTAACCCGTGTAAATACTCAGTCCTGGGAAAGAGGAGAAGTGTGGCACACTGGAAAGCAGCTGGGGCACCGAGCTTATGAACTGCCTCAAGAGCCTGCCTTCTCAGGCACCTTCCTCCAGCTCTTTAACTGGACCTGGCTCACAGGGCAGAGGAACAGCAGTCACGGACCAGCGCCTTGCTCTGCCAGAGGGCTGCAGGCAGACAATCCCCATGGAGACAAGGAAAACTCATAATTATGTTATACAAAAATGCAGATGCTGAGCTCCATCTCATACACCCCTCCAGTGAGTCAGCTCAAATTTAACAAATGCACATGATCACAAGTGTCAGAACTATCACCTATATTTTTTTTTTTTGACTATGTATAACTATTCTAACTTCCTCATAGGTATTTATACCTTGGCAGTGTTGGTTGACAAGAAGTTCAACATGACCCAACAATGTGCACTTGCAGCCCAGAAAACCAACCATATCCTGGACTGCATCAAAAACAGCGTGGCCAACAGGTCGAGGGAAGTGATTCTGCCCCTCTACTCCTCCCTTATGAGACCCTACCCTACTGCATCCACATCTGGGGCTCCCAACACAGGAAGGATGTAGGTAGACCTGTTGGAACAAGTGCAGTGGAAGACCACAAAAATGATCAGAGGGCTGAAACACCTCTCCTATGTAGACAGGCTGAGAGCCTGGAAAAGAGAAGGCTCCAGGGAGATCTTATAGCACCTTCCAGTACCTAAAGGGAGTTGGAGAGGGAATTTGGACAAGGGTATGTAGTGATAGGACAAGGAGCAATGGCTTTAAACTGAAAGAGGGTAGATTTGGGTTAGATATTATGAAGAAATTCTTTATTTGTAAAGGTGGTGAGACACTGGCAGAGGTTGCCCAGAGAAGCTATAGACGAAGTGTTCAAGGCCAGGTTGGATGGGGTTCTGAGCAACCCACTCTAGTGGAAGGTCTCCCTGTCCACAGCAGGAGGGTTGCACTAGATTAACTATAAGGATCCTTTCAACCCAAACCACTCTGATTCTAAGATTTATGCAAGTTTCACAGCAGTTTACAGTCTAAGACATTATACAAATATAATTAGCAAACCTTAACATATTTTCCAATTAATTTAAAGTTATTTAATAAGTCAAAGGTAACCTTTTTTCCAGTTCTTTGGTACTTCTTGAGAGCAGGATAGTGTGATCAATCCTCTACTCTAATAATTTTCCAGTTCATAAAATGTTCACAGAAATAAAAGAAAGCCCAGCTGGGGACAAGGTTAGGAGCTTGTCCAGGGCAGCTGCCTGACCCAAGGCAGGATTCATCTGTGGCTAATGCATTGTCATCAGATACGTATCTGATTGCCATGCACATCCAAAGAATCCCCCTCTGCAACCTCTTCCAGTCCTCCACAATCTTTCCTGTTACACAGTTCCTCCCTAGTGACTAATCTAAATCTTTTTTGATTCAATAAGCCTATTATTTCTTGTTCTAGCCACCACCAACATAAAAGACACCACAAAGGTGAAAGAAATAAATCATTCTCTTCATTTTTGAGACTTGTATTTCCTTTGAGTATTCTGTAGGCAACCCTACTCAAACTCCTTCAATCTTCTTATGATTCTCATTCTCATATACTTATGTTCTCATGGTTTCTAGATTTTTCTTAAATATCACTGCTTTTCTCTGACCTGTATCCATTTTTCCTAACAAGCATGACATATAAAACTAGACCTGATATTTCAGCTGATGCCTCTCGAAAACAGAACAGAATGAGGTACTTCATGTCATATGGATGATACAGTCTTTATAAACATCTCAATACTTCTGTTAATTTTGCAGAATCACTATGTTGTTAGAATAGATCACAAAATGCATGCCAGACAACTACCTGAATTTTTTCTGCTGAGCTAACCTTTAATTCCTTTCTTTCTTGTTTGCAAAGTTTGTCAGTTCTGTCCAATTTCCCAAGATGATTTTGAATCCTATTTCCACGCTTCAATATGCTTTTTTCCCTCCTATATGTCCTGCCCGAAACAGATTACAAAACAGTCACAAAACCTTGTGCATATGTATCCTGCAATCCAACAATCACTGCTTATGCTCTTTTTTTTATTCCGTATCCCTGAAAAAAAAGAAAAAGGAAAAGAAAAAGGAAAAGGAAAAAAGACAACAAAGAAAAAAGAAAAACAAAGACACAAAGTTATTTATTTGTTTGTTTGTTAAAAAAAAAACAAACCATATTTTTACCATAAGGACTGGTAAGAAAACACAGAACAGTGAAATAGCAGATCCTCTTTCCCACAGGGAAATGTATAGGCACCTATGGCATATTTGAAAAGTGTGTGTGCTGTGAAAGTAATCTCTATTTATAGAGAGTTTTAAAACTGATTTATAATCATATATAAGACAGTTCTGTCAATGTTTGCTAAGGACAGTTCAAATACAATACTGAGAGGAAGAGAGAATAGGAAGACCTGGCCAATGTTTCAAGCACAATTCTTTTCCCCTCTTACTTGTTTTTCATTTTTACATTAGAAGAAGCAGGATTTGAACCTGCGTTGGAAACAGCTTTATATTTAAGTCAATGAAAGTAAGTGGTTATTTCACATAGTTTAGCATAACATTTCCTCTTCTTTCAGTTTTTATTTTAGATTATAAAACTGTGGTCTGCTTACATTGGAGTCCCACAGTTGGACAACACAGCACTCCAGGACTGGATCCAGTGCACCAAAGCCATTGATTCCTACTGTCTTGACTCTAAAAAGTGTTAAGGGATAAATTTGACATTTACGGGGATAAAGTTACTGCAAGCTTTGGAAAAGATGTTAAGGCAAAAAAAAAGTGTTGTTCAGCACCTTGATTTCTCAATAAAATAGAGCAAAGAAGGAAACTAAAACCAATTCAAAACACGAATACAAATTTACATTTGCTATTACAAATCTTCTTAGTTCAAGTCCTCCTGTCATTTGTTTAGATGTGACAGCAAATAGAAGCCCCACATTTTAAGGCCATTTTTCCACATTTATCATTTAAACTTTGGACTCCATTTTAAGCAACCAGCTTAAAATGGGGTTAACTTATGCAATAAACTCGCTCTGTTCTGCTATGCTGGAGTCCCACCAGTGATAGTTCTGCTCTCAGTCATAACATGGTAAATACCAATTTTGCTCACACTGGCATAAATTCTTCAATCTGTCAGAGGAAAGAGACAGATAACTGCCCAACTGTCAGGAGCTTCCTAGGGTCCTGTAAGTATCTTGGATAACTTGGACTAGGAATTTTTCTGCCTTTGTGGACTTCAATAGGAATGGAAAAGTTCCTGGTGACTTAAAGGAATTTGTCCCAAACAGGAATATCTGTATACATAATAGTAACTATAGAAGATATCTTGTGCAAGGAAAGGAGAAAAAAGGGCTCATATTGAGCAAAAGAGAAAATCTAGGACAGCAGTGCGAATCACAGAACAAGTTTAGCAATGGAAATGTGCATCAAAAGGATGCAAAACCTGAAAACAAGTGAAAATCTTTGAAACAGACCCTTCAGAGAGTTATAGCCAGTGAAATAACAAAGCATTTTTGGTCCAAGGAGACATACATGAATCCTAAATGCAAAGTGTTCTCACAGTGACATGACTAGTTAGGATTCTGTGTAAAAATTCAACTTCAGACCACAGAGATTCCTATGTCATTGCTAATTTCACTCAGAAACACATTAATATTTGGTAGCTCTGAAAATACTTTTGCTTCACGTGCTCTTGAAAGAATAAAGTTAGAAAGAGTGAAAATTATGAAATTTGGTGCCTAGCAAAGAGTCACAGAGAAAGAAATACTTTTAGACTCTGAAAATTACAATTTTACATTATTTTACTAACTGCTGTATGCAAAGAAGCCAGTTCATAGAGCCACAGATTATTTCCATAACTAGAAATAACTGGTGACCTGAAAAAAATCCACCATCTGTACAACCCAACATTGAGCTGGGTTGCAATTGTCTTATGAGCTGAAGGAGTAACTTCATTTACAACCTTGAAGCTCTTGATGAAACAAGTTAATCCCTCCCATCACTGGTGAAGAGAACCATTTCTCTGTACTAAGAATGCACTGCTTCAGATGTAGTGTTCCTCATCTCCTCCATTCATGAGCAATGACAACTTTCCCCCTTCCTCCTCAACAAAACCATTATGTCTCGGCAGTTTGTCTGAAGCCAAGGAAGAGAAAGACACTTGGCTAATCTGATCCCAAGGAGCCAGTCTGGAAGAATCCCTTCTTCTATCATCCATTCCAATATGAACACTGATTTGAGAAGGAGTGAGTGGCTTCATGTGGCCTTGAGCTCGAGCTTCATAACTTTCTGTGTCTGGCTTCTTGTAACTAAGAAGAGAAAGAGAAAAGATGTTTAATACCAAGATGTCAACATGTAGAAGGATCTTCTGCATTGGAACAAATCTGAAACTTCTGATAACCTAACTGTATTGAAAGTATCTCTATAGAAAAAATAAATTTATAGATTAATTATATATGTTTAAATTAACAGCTTCCTATTAATAGCTCACAAATAATTAATTTAAGATGTGTGGTGTCAAGAATGTAACAGTCTCAAAAATCAGCTACAGGATAATAATTTTTATTACTACTTAACTTCCGAACCTGCCAATTCTCTCAAGCCAAGACAGGCACAGAAGGATAGGAGGGATGATGGAGAAATGGCAGAACACCTCTTGAGATGCCTTTGATCTCAAGTTTTCAGTCATTCAAGGCCACATACTGTTCATTGGTTGAGCACTCTTTTGCTGCATTTAGGGACATGGGTAGTGGTGGCCTTGGTGCTGTCAGGTTAATGGTTGGACTCAACGATCTTAAAGGTCTTTTCAAACCCATTTGCAGAATCAGAAACATAGTGCAGTAATTGATTTCCTATGTTATTTTATACTATACTGTACTGTACTATACTGTAATATACAAAAGACCCCAGCCACAGTAAAAATATGTGAAGGTTTGGATTAATTTCAAACACCATAAAAAGTCTTATTTTTGAAAGATGTTTGCTCTCTATGGTGTTAAGAACAGGTCCAATGTAACTACCAAAAAGGGCACCCAAAAATGCAGCATTAATAAAATTAATAGAATTTGAAAAATCTTGTTATAGTTCAGAAAAAACAGATAAAGATATCTGTAGCAAGGTGCAAAAGAATAAATACACTGCTTCTCTGTTTCTCTTTTGGCTAATTTAAATAGGCAAAAATAAAAACAAAACAGGTGCAAATATTTTTTAAAAAATCAACTGCTACATCATGGAGAATTATCTTTTGAATGACTTGTTCACCTGATATCCACAGCAAAACCTGCTGATCATTACCTTACTTGGTATTGAACTAGATTTGCAACACATGGGCTCAGGAGGCATCAGCTGCTAGTTAAAGAATGCTCAGCACTGTCTCAGTCCAGGTGAATTCATAATAGCAACACCTGTCTCTTTTGGAGCCAAGGATAAGACAGAACAACCCCAGGCTAAAGGACTGTCAGGCTAAAGTGCTGACAGCAGCTGCTGCACCACCCGCTACAATATCAACATGACCAAGTCCATCTAGGTATAGAAAGCCCAAAGTGTGTCTCACTTGCATCCCATCATCAGTGTAGTCATGGTTCCCCAACTGATAAGTGTAAGACAACTTGCCATTTCAGCTGCAGGGAAGACAGCAGGACAGACATAGAAGAAGCTGCCATTGCAGCTGATCCCATCCAAGGCTCAAGCACAAGGCCAACAGGCATGAACACACCTAGAAAAAAAAATATGGACATGAGCCAGAGCCACCTGTCCCAACACAAGCATTTCCATTCCTGCATACTATGGAACAGATCAGCAGTTCTACAGCACGACTTGCTGAGACCTCCACAAACACAACTAGATCAATACATATATTTACTCACTTATTTCTAAACATGACCCTTCTGTTGCAAGGGATGACATTTGCACAAATACAGCTACAAGACTGTGGCCACAAGGTAATAATATTTGTCCCTTCCAGCTATTCTGCAGAGATGAAACACAGCAAAGGTAACAAAAAGACTAGGCAATCATACAGGCAAAGGAAGAAGTTACTCATAAACAAAATGAGGAATGCTTGAAGTAAGTTTTAAGTAGGAGTCTGGAGCATGTGGTATAGAGGATGTAAGTAGTAGGGGAGAAAACGTATGATTCAGGGTGAATAAAAGAGGGAGCACCCAGAAATGGGGTGCTGTATCTGATGAGAGCTGAGTTTGATTATATAGAAACTAATCCCCAAGCACTGCTATGTGAAGTAAGAGCATGGTTTTAATTCCATAGAACTACGTATTCCTAACAGTTTAAAATTTGGCGAACAAATATTTTTGTTCATATAAAAAAAAAAGTATTTATTTTGTCATCCTTCTACCAAGTTTTAAATACTCTAGGAACCTCTCTTTGGTTCCTTGAGCAGGGAATCCTACCAGATGCACCACAGAGCTCAACTATACTGCTGCCTTCAACAAGCTGAGCTCTAGCAGCCACATACCTGCTGCTATGGGTATTCCAAGCAGATTATAAATTAAGGCAAGTATTAGATTTATTCGTATTCTTCGAACTGTTCTCTTCGATAAATGAATACTGGCAACTACATCCAGCAAGTCATTCTGCAAGACAGAAGAGCATTGAGCGTTTTCCACATGCAGTCTTCAGAATACCAAACCAAAAAGAGGAGCATCAGGGATAAAAGAGGACAGGTTAAAACTGTAGTGCTCACTCGGATAAGAACAACATCTGCTGCTTCAATGGCAACATCGGTGCCTGTTCCAATTGCAATTCCAACGTCAGCCCTGGCTAGTGCAGGGGAATCATTGACTCCATCACCAACCATTGCAACCTTCCTCCTCCCATTTTGGAGTTCCTGGACCTTGGCAACCTTGTGAGAAGGAAGAACCTCGGCAAACACTTTTTTGATCCCAACCTATGTACAAAGAAAGACACCCAGTTGGTGATATGCTTCATGCTGAAAGGAGAGCCATTTGCTGTTCTGGTGAAGGGGAAACACAGGAATATCAACCCATCTGATTCCAGTGAAGGCAACACTTGCAAGCTACACAGAAAGCTGAAGAGCACCATGCCTTTGGTATAAGAAAAGGCCTGACGAGAGCCCCCGCCATCTTTACTGCAGAGATGCTGGCAAATGATGCTCTGCCCTAAGCATCATGCCCTGCAGGGCCTCTGAAGCTCCACTATCCTAGCAATAAGGGTTTAATGGTTAAAAGAGGCAGTTTTCAGCTCACCATGCTGCATGATGGACCAACAAAAGTTTCAGTAAAATCACAGAATCATAGAATGGATTAGGTTGGAAAAGACCTCTAAGATCATCGAGTCCAACTGTTAACCCAGCACTGCCAAGTCCATAAGCACCATATCCACATATCTTTTAAATACCTCCATGGATGGTGACTCCACCACTTCCTCAGGCAGATATTTTCTCTTGTCCTATTGTTTGTTACTTGGCAGAAGAGACCAACCACCACCTGGTTTACAACCTTCTTTCAGGTAGTTGTAGAGAGTAATAAGGTCCGCATTGAGCCTCTGTTTCTCCAGACGAAAAAACCCCAGTTCCTCAGCCGTTCCTCATTTTGCATTTAGAATTTGAGATCAGGGGAATCTCCTATAAACCCAACATCCTTTCAACTGCTATGCTTCTTAACAATAATTCATATTGTTACTACCATGTTACTCTTGAAGATACTGACAAATCTCCACTTCCCTTGTTGTGAACAGGACTGGACCTTCAAGGAACCTTCCTTCATCACTAACCAAATAGGACTGCCCTTCAGTGAAGGGAAGCAGAAGGCTTCAGTTCAGCAACTGATTACTACAAGAAACTCTATACCTCTAGAGAAGATTGCATGTCTTCAGCAGCCACTGGCCTTTACTATGTCATAGGACCTGACCTGATTTGCAGTCCAGTTCAAGAAATGTTAGTCTTCATTTAACATATCCAGGGAAACTGGGATTCCAGGGAAACTGAAGTCCTGCTTAAAATTCACTGGGGCAAACCAGAGTTTTAAAACCTCATCGTATATTTTTTTTGAAACACAAAGAAGCAGATACCTGAGTAGCAATGGCTTTTGCAGTTTTTCTGTTGTCCCCTGTTATCAGCACCACATCTATTCCCATGCTTTTCAGTGTATGCACAGCAAGGGCTGCCTCCTGCTTGACAGTGTCTGCTATTGCAATCATTCCACACAACACACCTGCACAAAGAAACATCCTCTGTTAGAGAGAGCTGTAGGAGGCAAAGTGGCAGCAAGAGAAAGGGCTTCCCCTCTATCACTCCAACACATTCTGGGCATTATTGCCTGCATAACTGTCTGCAGCTTTCTCATTTATGGTCTCTTTCCTTCCTCATTTATCTGTTTCAGATCAAACAGTAAACATCTTTGATATTTAAGGACCAGGAGTAAGGGGAGGAGGGTAGCTTTTAAACATGCCTGACTCCTATATTTTATGGTATAAATAAACATGATAGTGGGCCAGAGAAAGTTTTGGAATTTGTGCCCAGGAGAAATGTTGAAGCCAATCCTCCAAGAGGAAGCACATAGAGTGTCTGGTTTTATGTTCCCTACTCTTTCAGGGTTGGATCTCTATTAGAATTAATTACTTTCACAAAGAGGTGTTGCATCTACCTTCCAACCCATTGACTTAAAGGTGTATCCATGTGCACATGCCCCTCAAAATTGCCCTCTAGGAGCACCGAGAATATTTGTACAGTAAATGAATCACAGGCCTCATTTCAAGATCACAGATGCACTGGCAATCTATGACCATTACAACCGTTTGTTATATCAAGGTATTATCTGGGATCTCTTTCTGTATAGCACAGAGCAGAACCTCACTAGCAAAACTCATTGAGTCTAACTTATACTTGACTGATCTAATGAATCATCATGTTTATTTATTACATGTTTTGAAACCAGTGATGCAGTAGGTTGGCCTGTGACCCCTAGGTGATGTAAAGTCAGGATTGGACATGACCCTGCACTGGTACTGCTTTTTTGAACAACAGTCTAAGACAATAGGGGTTTCAGAAATTATTACTTACATTAAAAACTACACAACAAAATCTTATAAACACTGCTCTATGGTGAAAGCTTCTTTTAAGAACACCTTGATACTTTGCAGTTCACAAGCAGTTCTGCACCAAAAGCTTGGTAGCTTCTTGCCACTAAGCCAGTGATCAGCTGCTCCAGAGTTTGCTTTTATCCCTTCCTCAGTAGGATCAACTGATATTTATTGTCACTCCAAGGAACAGCAGTTACCATCTATAGCCACTAGTACGGCAGTCTGTCCTTTCGTTTCATGGTCTGTCATTGCATCATTCACATCATTTGCAATATTCAAGCCATTGCGTCGCATCCACTCACGATTTCCGATCAACACTGAGTATATATGAGATGGTGATCGACCTTTGTGCAAAGACAAAAAGAAAAATTAGCAACTCGAAAATAGCGTACACAAGCAGAGATGTTCGAGGATGACAAGTTGGGCATAGGCAGTGCCTGAAGACAGCCTCATGAAACTTTTCTCCTTCAGGACTCAATCTGTGCCTGTTTACATACAGAACTGTGTCATGAATTTAAGAGGTATTTGCCTGTATTTGCCTTTGTCAGTTGGCATTGTTTTTCTGAATAAGTGCAGCATGCATGTTTAGTAAATGCCATTCTCCTTTGTTCTCACAGCTAATGACTTCTTTCAAATATAAAGGCTATTTCTGACAAGAAAAAAGTAGTTTTGTTCTAATAAACAATGAACCTCATTATGAATTCAATCCAACTTCACAAAGACCATGAGAAGGTGAGAAAATATTACATTAACACCATTTACAAATGGCACAGTTCTGATAATTGAAGTTCTTATTCTATTTAACTCTTCTAATAGCTTTCTCAAAAAGGTCAGGAGCACCAAAGCCTTTTGAAGAGAACTGATGAGCTTCTTAAGGAAGGTTTTAAATACCTTTTCTTTCTCTCCTACACTACAAAAGACCGAAGTGGCTTCCAGAGAGTCTGAAACAAACCCAAGTGTATTGGCCTAACCAAAAATATGACACACTGAAACTCTGTTTTCAGATATAAAGTGCTTTATTGTGCATCTGATGAATTTTTTTTTTTACTTAAATGCTCTGAGAGGTATATGAACAGAAAACAAAAGGCCAAAGTTAATAAGGAACTGAAGGGTAGGATATAAAAAGTTGCACTAAGAAATATATGTTAAAGGTAATTGTTCTAAATGGGAAGATATCGCTAACTGGCAAACTTTGCTGTCTGCAGGACCATTCTTCTATCCAAAAGGAATATTGCATAAGTATTGTATGTAATTTTCAAGTATCCATCACTGTAGCATCTAAATTCTCATTTAGATTTCTCAATTGCAGCAAGATCAAGAGTTGCAGAAAAGAGCTTCAATTGCTCTTTGCCTCCTTCTGCCACAAATCCACTTTTTGTTGTTCCTAGTCCAGTAGGATTGGTTTACAATGGTCGGCACTGTTGATTCATCATCTCTCACATTGCCACTGGTGGTCACCTCAGGGGCAGACTTACCATGTGATTCCAAGAGCGTGATCACCGTGTTATCTCCCAGAGGAGCCCTGTTGTCCCCACTCCTGTTAGCATCCAGATTATCGAGACCCTGATTGGCTGTGCCGAGGATGGCCTCAACTCCTCCGACTTTGCAGCTGATACCACAGCCTGGCACTGCCTGGAAGTCGGTGCAGTATCCCAGACTCTGAGTGCCAAGCTCCTGTAGACATAACCAGAGGTCATCACCGGTCTGTGCTGGCCAAATGGGGTACAAACATTAGTTAAGTCCAGCAAAAAAAAGGCCTCACTGCTCTTGACAATGACTGACCAACCAAAGACTAGCACAGAGTATTAGTAGCACAGAACTAAAAATAAGCATGTTTTGGATGTGCTGTGGCTTAGACTTCCAGAAAGGGACAGCCATACAGATTACATTCGGGTCTCAGCCCTGGCACCAGAAAACTATAAAGAACAGCTTTTCCTGGTAAAAAAGTTAGATTGGTGGTTCACGACTTCAGCCAAGATTAGGAATTGAAGAGAAATAATATAACATTAAGCCACACGCCTTCTGAAAAGATGCGATTTCTAATTAACCTCACAGACAACTGGTTGTGGTAGATCAGACCTTTTATATACACATATATATATATATAAGTGTATATATATGTAAAAGTATAGTGAAAACCTGTTTCTAATTCCTAGAGTGATCTAGCTGGCTGATAAGGAACTGGGTTTCCCTGTTGAGTTAGAGAGAGAAGCCAGTGAGTACCTTCAAGATAAGAAAAGGATTACCAGGATCCTATCAGTTTCAAAAAGAATGGAGAAAATATTTATCTATAAACAAGTTATTCTGGGTTGTTTCTGGAAGTTGGAACTATATGTATCTTTTAGTGACCTTCTTAAAACACAGGGATGATAAGATGGGTGGTAAGAATATTATCAAACAGTATAGCATTATAAGCTATGATCCAGTAATAACTGGTGCATGGGATAACTACAGAAGTATCAGGGTACTAAGAGAACTTGTAAATAGAAAATGTAAAATACAAGAAAGGGAACCAGTTAATTACTCATACTCATACTTCTAAATTCAGTGTTCAGTTCTAAATTTTATCAGTGAAAGATCTATCACTAATAAGTTTTATATATTCTTTACAATTATTTTTTCCCTAAAGCAATTAAGGACTTTTCTCAGCAGAAGGAAATAGTTTATTTGAACAGGCTTCCTATTTTCATTATGATTTGTGCTTTCAATCTTTCTGAAACATTTAAGGAACACAATATATACAGGACCTCTGAGGATTTGTTAAATTTGCAAAGATTTGAGTAATCCATTAATTAATTTGTGAAACTCACAAAATATTACAGTTTAATATTCAGGTTTTAAATCTCTTTTCCTAATTTATTGAAATGAGCAAGTGACTAAGAGAAGTGACTACAGTCAGGTAACACAAGAAATGTCACCTCACAATGCTATTTTAAGTACAATTATTGCTCCTGCACATATTCCACAATCCTTATTTTTCTATTAATTCAAGAAAAACTTTGTAAGGTCTTGCTTGAGAACTCCACAGTGTTACCAGAAAAGAACAGCTTAAAATATACCTTCTGGTAATGTCCAGACTAAGATGCACAACCACAAAATCACAGAATAACAGAATATGCTGAGTTGGAAGGGACCCACAAGGATCATCAAGTCCAAACCTTAGCCTTGAACTGGACCATTCCCAAGAGTCACACCATGTGCCTGAGAGTATTGTCCAAACACTTCTTGAACTCTGTCAGTTTTGGTGCTGTGAACACTTGCCTGGGGAGCCTGTTCCAGTACCCAACCACCCTCTGGGTGAAGAACCTTTTTCTAATATCCAACCTAAACCTCCCCTGACACAATTTCAGGTCATTTCTGTGAGTCCTGTTACTGGTCATCATAGAGAAGAGATCAGTGTCTGCCCCTCTGCTTCCCCTCACAAGGAAGTTGTAACTGCAATGAGGTCTCCCCTCAGTCTCCTCCTCTCCAGGCTGAACAGACCAAGTGCCCTTAGCCACTCCTCATACGGCTTCCTCTCAATCTTCATTGCCCTCCTTTGGACACTCTCTAACAGCTCAATATCTTTCCTATATTGTGGTGCCCAAAACTGCACACAATATTCAAGGTGAGGCTGCACCAGCGCAGAGTAGAGCGGGACAATCCCCTCCCTCGACTGGCTGGCAATTCTGTGCCTGACACCACCCAGGACACGGTTGGCCCTTCTGGCTACCAGGGCGCTGCTGACTCAGATTCAACTTGCCATCGACCAGGACCCCCAGGTCCCTTTCCATGGCACTGCTTTCCAGTATCTCATTCCTGTCTGTCCGTATATGCAGGGTTGCCCCACCCCACATACAAAATCTGGCACTTTCCCTTGTTGAATTTCAATGTGGTTAGAGATTGCCCAGTCTTCTAAATTGTTAAGATCTCTCTGCAGCACCTCCCTGCCTTCAGCCTCCCAGCTTTTCAGCCTGTTAATTTTCAGGCAGGCCTGTCCCTCTGGAACTTGATCCTTTTATATAACATTTCTGCATTTGCACAGACACCTTCAGGCCTTAGATGAAACAGGAAGACTAAGTACCTCTTTGCAATATTTAGTGACTGCCACTCCTAAAGGATGCTCACTGCTGGCTTCTGCAGTGCCAATAACCGCCAGTACCTTCTTCAGGGAGATCACAGCTGTGTCTCCCAACAAAAGCACCCTCATGACTTTAGGAACTCCATAGGTGATGGTCCCAGTTTTATCAAACATTACAGTCTTGATCTGCAAGAAATAAACCACAGTTACTCCCTCAGCCCTGTGAGTAAAGGGATGCTCATATGTTTTTGGAACATAAATGCAGTCAAGACCTTAAGAAATAGTTGACTATATCCACAAGAAGACAGAATAACCCTACGAAAGTAGGGATTCCTGTATGTACCTTAAACTATTTGTACAGTACGCCTCCTCATACTCTTTTATTCATTCCCATACAGTGATTTCACTCAAGCTACACCATCATCCTGTACCTACATCAGGATCTCAGACAACAGCATCACTGCAGGACTTAGATGCACACACAAAGGAGTCTTGTATTCTCATGCAAGACTCATGCAATGGCACCTTAATAACTTTTACCACAACCTATGTGATGCAAAGAGGGCTTTTATGAATGCTGTTCTAAAACAATTGACAATAGCACTGAGGAAAGAGTGCTCAGGAAGTGGTTTGGTGATAGAGAAGGTAGAGAGAGTGCAAGAAGCTGCAAGAAATTCAAGAACCTAAGCAAAAGCAACATCATGCTAATTCAAACCCAGTAGTCACTTGTTAGCCAGCCCAACAGGTCTTGAGGAATCAAGAATGAACCAAAAAATACAGCCCAACATATAATGAAATCCAAAGCTAAAGTTAATTCTAATGCTGCAAATAAACACAGCAGAGAGAAACATAAGAACAAAAAAACTTACCAAAGTAGGCATTTTTTCCATTCCCAGCTATTTCAACACATCAGCCTTGCAGAATCCCAATTTTCAAAGCCCTGACCCTAGCTTTGCTTAGATCCAAAAGGTAAAAAGTTCCAGCATTATTTAGCAGTGGGTTTTTTTGTTTGTTTCAAAGACTTGGAACTTCTGGTCCAATAGGGACAAGAATTATCAGTCTGACTAACTTGCTCTTACCATTCTTTTCCCTTAAAATGTTCTGCGTATGTCTAATACAGTCTGTCATAGCATGGTTTCAATTCATATTCTTTGTGGACATGTCAAACCTCTTCCTCCTTCAACTTCTTCCTCCTCTTTTCATCATTTTTGTGTCTTTGAAGGGTTTTTTCTTCCTCCCTTCTATCTTTTTTTTCTATACAACAAAACAGCTTCAAATAATTTGGTTTTTCTCTTACATCCAACATTTTAAACTGCTGATCATGAACAATATGCACTTCACAATAGCTCTCTGAGGAAAGAAAAAACCTACTGGATTACTGGGCTCTTTTGCAGAAGAGGTAAAGAAAGTGCAAAAGTCAGAAACCTCTGAGGCCATGCAGAAGATTAGCAGCCTCATAGTCATGAGATTGCAGGATCTGTTGGCTCTCAACACTTTGCTGCGACTGCTTTGAAGAAAGAAGGTCAGATTTGTCTTTAATGAGCAGCAGTGAATTAAAAAAAAAATAAAGAACAACTTTCTGTAGTCTTTCTCTGGACCTGCAGGATTTCCTGGGAAATTATATTTCATGTAGTAAGATACAAAAGTACAGAATGAACTATTAACCTTGTGTGCCATTTCCAGGGGTTTTCCACCTTTGATGAGAATACCATTCTGTGCAGCCACTCCTGTGCCCACCATTACAGCTGTGGGGGTAGCCAGGCCTAAAGAGCAAGGGCATGCAATGCTCAGCACAGTGATTGAGGTTTGAAATGCAAACCTCACTATTAGTTCAGCTTTTGAAATGTGTTTGCTCTGATTCTGCAAGAAGAAAGAAGAGAAAGGGGAAAAAAATTAAAGATATGTTAAGAGTGCTGACAGAAGATGTACAATAAGATGTACGATACAGATGTACAATCAATCACAGTAATATCAAAAAACACGTTTACCTGGAAGACTCCAGTGTAGGAAAGCAATCTATTATTGTTAACATAACGCTAAATAAAGATCAATGTTATGAATTGTTTATGACAGTATTTTCTGGATTTTTTGCTGCTCAAGCACACATATGTTTAACTCTGCTCTCAGGCAACAATATAACTTGTTGGAATTTCCTTTATAGCTTAGCAAAGGAGAACCCTATTTCCAGGTACACAGATCCCCACAGTTCCTGAGCATAGCAAATACACATCCTAAAGATTGCAGAAGCTCCTCTTCTTTCTAAAGCCAAAACCACTATCTGCCATCAGGAACCAGAATGTCCACAAATATTTCAGACATGACAGGAGTGGCTCCTTGCAATGCAGCTATAGATCATGTTTAGTCCAGAAAGACTGTCAATAATTTCCATTTGTAAGAATCCCATGCATAACTAAGGGGGAAATGCAAAGGCATATTTATACCTGCAGAGAGATTTTAACAAGTGTAATTATCTGCTCTGTGTAGGAAAAACCACATTGCACAAAAATATTTGCCAGGTTGTGACATAAAACCTAAGCACAGAAAGTATGTTAAGTACACTGTAAGGCATTCTAAGAAAAAAATCCATCTCTTAATAAAATTACTTACAGGAAAATATTTTTTAATAACATCAACATTTATAAAACCAATTGTGATCCATACTATCAATGTCACTGTTGAAATGATGATGATAAATGGAACAAAGTATCCACTAAACTTATCTGCCAGTTGCTGGATGGGTGCCTATAAAAAAAAAAAACCAGTTATTTGCATGTTTATGGTCAAAACAAATAAATATGCAGAGTTCATGAAAATATGCAATAGTCTTTATCTATTTCTTTTTTGAAGTCTGGAAAAACACAGTTTGCTGAAAATATAGAATCTTTTGATTATTTAAGGTTTTCTTCCCTATTATTTTTACCTTTGACATTTGAGCTTCTTCCACCAATTTCACAATCTGTGCCAGAGTGGTATCACTACCAACATGAGTAGCATTAACAAGAACTGAGCCATGTGCATTTATAGAACCAGCAATCACTGTGCTCCCAGGTTTTTTAGTGACTGGCATAGGTTCCCCTAGAAAGAAAAGGTAGGAATAAATGAGCCAATACCTCTAATAACACAGTCCATTAGCATTCAGCTAACTGTTAGCAAACTCAGTATATCAAGTAATAATGACCAGAAATCACATATTGTGTATCTCTGTCTGATGAAGACATGTAAAAGTAGCGTCATACTCCCATAAACCTTTTCATAGGTTTAATTTCAAAGGAAATGCTGTTTCCTTGGTCTTAACTTTTCAGTATCGCATCCCTCAACAGGGCCAGGAGCAAATTGGTTGGAAAAGGAACTTCTAGGAATTTCTCCATTAACACTTTGCCTTGTCATGGGAGTTTGAGCAATCTGCCTTTATTTCTACAATCCTCAGCTTTCAAAGACTAGAAAAGTTTTCTCTGTGGAAAAGCTTCTGTTCTCATGCTTCCACTCCAAGAACAGTAGCTCTACAAAATCTGTATTTTCTCTATTTTTAGGGTTAGTGATAACAACTGGTTCTCTTAAGCTAAGGGTGTCGGGGTTCCCAAGTAAAGTAAATACGTAACTAAAACAAGTAAGCCAATGTAAACTTCTTCTATCCTTTACCTTATTTATAAGAATTGCACAATTTATTAAATCCTTACTTTATTTATCAAATGAAATGAAAATTTCAGAAGCTGTGAAAAAGTCCCATGACCCTGAATAGGTGTCAAGTTGTGAAGCTTCCTTTCCCTCTATTTGCTCACTGGAAGAGCCCTGTCATACATACCCCAGCATCTCATCAATATTTCCCCATTAACCCTTAGAAGTTATTTCTGAAAAGGTACCATCTCTTCAATTACATTCCAGAGGAAACTCCAAACAGATCACCGGAATAATGACAATAGTGTTTAGACTCTACCCATCCCATCAAGTACATTAGTAAGTGACCAAACTGAGTGGAAATTCTTCAGCTTTTTAGGGTGTTGCAGACACAGGATTTGAATTCAAGATCACAAAGGGAAGCCACAGTATCCATTTATGTGGGAGGTTATTCAGACAGCAGTATTTGCGTTGAGTCTGCTCTCTTTTCTTGTAATAAAGAGTTCTAGAAGCTTTCACTTTTTTGCACAAGGTAAGGGGAGTTACCAGTAATGAGAGACTCATCTGCCATAGAATTGCCTTCAATGACCTTTCCATCCACTGGGAATTTTCCACCGGGAACAACTTTTATGATATCACCCCTTTGAACCAGTTCAACAGCTACCTGTTCCTCCCTACAAAAGACACAAGTAAAACAGACAGATTATTTATGCTCTCAGCTTTCACGTTAACTGGATCAAGCATAGTCTGCGACCCAGGCAGGCTGAAGCGATTTTGGTTCATAAATATGTACCTGACAATAGAGTGGTCAGGTCCAAGAGTCACCACAGTGGCTTCTGTGGCTTGAAGAGACATAAGTTTAGCAAGAGCTTCCGAGGTCTTACTCTAAGAAAGAGAGATTAATGTTTAAGATATATCGAGATATATAAATGCTGATGTCTACTCAACACAGTGAACTCTAAATGACCTTGTACAGTATTGGTTGCATCAGAAACATCTGACTCAAAATTCCTCTGAATAGTTTTATTCTACTCCTATCATAAATAAACAATAACTAGCACGAAGATGAGTTACCTTTGCTATGTGTTCCAGCCATCTGCCAAGTGCAATGAACACAAACAACATCGGAGGAGTGTCAAAGAAAGTAATAGGGCTTTCCTCTGCCTTTTCTATTATTGCCACTATCAGGATCACACAGGAATACACATAAGCAATCGTCGTGGCCAGTACGATGAGCACATCCATGTTGGCCATCCTGTGCCTCAGCGATTTGTAAGCTTGTACATAAAAATACCATCCGCCAAGAAACTGTTGGTGTAAGCATGGACAGACTTGTATTAAGATCACAGCAGTAACCACAGCAGTGAATGGAGAGAGTACATAATACTGCCCATAGCAGAATTTAAAAAACATAGCAGATAAGGGAAAGCATTGTTGTCCTATGCAAATTTTGTACTGATATAACTTCAGGTCTCCTGGAAGACTGACTCCATTGACATCTCTCATTTGCCCTTCCTTATTTTCAAAACCAGCTAAATATCATCCTTTTCCTCAGCTATGCAAAGTAAACAAGGCACTGAAGATGAAAGGATTTACCTACAGCTACCCAATTAGTTTGCAGATGATCAGGTCTTTTTTCATTGTGACAGTACCCTCCCCACTCAGAAAACTATCTGATGCAACTTTGGCAGCAGTAAGTACTGTGAGTAAATACAGAATGGATAATTTGCAGAAAAGTGCCACTTTGTTCTGCAGGTGGTACAGACAAGAGAGAAGGCCTAATCCACTAAAGCTTTCCAGTCTCCTGTCTTTACCAAATCAGATTACATAAGTGAAATAGGAAATTAATAGAAACAAAACCCCTAGGATGTACTGTGGACATACCTGAACAAAAGTGCACAGGATAAAGAAGAGAAGATTCAAAATAGATAATCCAGGAATGAGGTTCCGTTCCAGCACCGTAGACCCATGGTGCTCACCATTGGGTATTTGCATATAAATCATTATGATTAAGACAGGGATACCAAACAGTAGGCTGCACAAAAAAGATTTCTTCCACCTGAAAAGGAGAAACTGTAAATCCTTGGTTGTTGTACACTCTGCAGTACTCAGGCCAAACAGTGTGCTCACAGTGCACAGCTTTGGGATATTTGCAAAGATCCAACATTTAGGGACAGTTTCAGTGTCTCCTACATGTTTAACTGTGTAGACTTCTAGGAGTTTAAAACTAATGAAAGTAATAAAAGTAGTTGAACCAAATGGTGAATAGTAAAATTAAATATGCTTTACACAAGAAGAAGTTAATTAACTGGGAAGAGTCCTGGGGAGAGGTGAGTTACAAGATATGATCTAGACATGTTAATTAGTGAGAGAGAAAAAGAAACGCTTACTGCTGTATTTCCTTTTTATGATCCAGGTTATGTGCATTTGGATCTCTTCTAGCCACAGAAGCATGAAAGCCAATTTCCTTTTTATTGACAGAGGAGGAAAGATCAGTTAGTTTTGATTAAACTAACCATATTACTTATAACATAGTTAAATGACACTACTTTCAGAAGATGTCAGAAAAAGGACACTGTTCCATTTTTAATAAATGCCAACTTCTTATTTATTTTTAGATCCTTCCAAAATGAGAGGATATTTCAGTCAGTACTCAAAATTTGGACTGCTAAGGATTTTGGTACCTATACATGAACATGGTGTATAGATGCAGTATGTGTCCCAGTTTTCTTAGGCACAGGAAGCTCCCACTGACAGCTGGAATTCTGTTGCTCATTCCCTCAAGGACAAGGTATGCCTGCCCTTTCACCTCCACTGGAATAATTATGAGAGATGAGACATAGCACAAAGGAAGTAAAAATGCAGAAGCCACTGTGCTAAACAACCTTGTAAGCAAATCCTAAACATTACAGTTTAGCAGATATACCTGAAGTTAAAAATGAAAGTGTCTAAAATCCGTTTAAACATGTAGACTACAGGGTAAAGCATTCCAGAAACAAATATAAGCAAAAAGCCAGCTTTGACTGACACTTCAGTGAGTTACTGCAGTATAATCACAAAATCAATTAGGTTAGAAAAGACCTCTGACATCATCAAGTCCAACCTATGATCAAACACCACCTTGTCAACTAGACCATGGCACTGAATGTCACATCCAGTCTTTTCTTAAAACACCTTCAGGGACGGTGACTCCACCACCTCCCTGGGTAGCCCGTTCCAATATCTAATCACCCCTTCTGTGAAGAAATTCTTCCTGATGTCCAACCTAAACCTCTCCATGTTTTGACTCAGGACGTTAGGCTGTGATTGCAATTGTATTGTTAGGGCTAGAACTATGCCTCTCCCTCAAACACCCAAAAACCCAAAGCACGCTTGCAAGAACAATACATCTAAACTTCCTACCTGCATCATGAAATGCTTCTCTGGTAATATATGCTTTACAGAACTACTCTGCCATCCTGAACAGTCTACTAGTTAATATGTTAATAACTGCTGCTCATCAATCCTGTAGTCTAGGAATTTTTTTCTGAATAAATCCTCTAGAGCACAGAGGGCAAACAGTCTCTATTGCCTTCCTGACTACTCACTGCATGGACCTCATACAGTACATTTTCTTCCCTTCTGGTGGGCAAAAAAGGAAGTTTTGTCCACATCTGGGCCACAGTAATGGTGGATTTTATGATCTATGTGATTGCTGGTAAGCCAGGATTTTTTTTTCATTTAGTGGTTGTATCACAAGCTTTTCCAGTTTAAAAAATTCCACTCTATTGACGTGAGAATAAATGCAAGTGCATACTTGCATTTACACAAGAGATGTGTAATACTTGTGGTATGAGCTGTGGTAAAACTTCTTTTACAGTCTTTCACTGTCAAAAGAAAGCAGTATTTTTTTAATGAAATATTAAGACCACCAAAATGACTGGAAATGAGAGACACATGATTTTACACACAGAATTGCAAAGAATAAATATATCGCATTTTTATCACATATAGATAAAAAAAGGTTTCCTTTTGTAGTTTTTAGTATGTGTTTTTAGAGTAACAACCTGTGAGACTACACATGACTGTGCAGCACAGCAGCTTCAGCACAAGAGCATAAAAACATACGGCAATAACTGTGTCATCCGCAAAAGTCAGTGAAACCTCTCAATTATCAGCTGCTCTATATCCTTTTAAATTTCACCTTAAAATTGTCCATACATAGAAAATTCTTAAATCCTACCTTGATTATTTTTATAATATCTCGAGGTCCAATAATTTCAGGATCAAACTGGATGTGAGCTTTGCAAGTTGCAAGTGCAACTGAGGCATAAAATATGCCATTTGTTCTCATGAGTTTGGATTCAATATTGTGAACACAAGAAGCACAAGTCATCCCTGTAATCTAAAGAAAAGACAAATTTAGGTAGTTAGTAATCCCATATATTCACCCAATATTTGTAGATGAACTTGAAACAAAGCCTCCTGATCTCACAGAGGTACTAATTCTATATGACTATTCAAGCTCTTCTGGTATTGACCCAAGGCCTCAGCATAAAGATTTTATAGAGCTGTCTTAAATGATACAAAGCTGAGAATACAACTACCCACTTTTATTATAAAATTCTGCAACCAGCTGTTATAGTCACAGCTATGTATTTGTATAGCAGAACTCAGACGCTGTATTAACTGTAACAGTATAACTAATATAGTTCTATCAACAACTATATTAACACCAGCAAAGCCAAATTCTTCACGTTGCTTACTTAAATTTCCCTGTGGCTTCAACAAGGCATTATTCTGATTACTTCTGTTTTATTAACACAACTGCAGACTGTTATCTGTCTTGAAGTAGGTATCTGTCAGAGAATAAAAACTGACATTTGAAGAATCTGTCCTTCATGAAACAATTAACTAATTTTATCCAAAGTTCTTAGACCTCTATAAAAAGCCCCCAGCATTGGCAGTACATATTTGGTGACACATTCTCTGTCACTCAGAATCTGTACTGTTGACAGAAAACTTCTGTTTTATTCCTGCTTGCTAAGAAAAGTCTAGTCTGTACATAGAACTATCACCTTTTATTTCAGTGCATTTGGATAGGTTCTTCTAAGACAAACGATCTTGTCTTTTCAGTAATTAAGAAACAATAACATCACCATCCAGAACTGAGCTGCTGAAGGTACAAGTGCTTAAGTAAAGGTATTTTCAAGAAAATGAGTCTTCCAGACCTGACTATTCCTAAACCAAATACACATGACTTACAAGAAGATCCACATGCCCTTCTGTTTCTGCATGATCTTCTATGATGGTAGCTTCAAAACCCAAATTCTGGATCAGCTGTGCTATTTCAAAAGGCTGTATGAATTCTGGTTTGTATTTTATCTCTGCTTTACCTGCCATCAGCGCTACCAACACTGAAACAATTCCTGCAGAGGCATAATAAAAAAAATATTAGATAATATAGTCCCTTTGAGGGAAAGAAAAATAAAATATTACAAGTGACTGTCAATGAGGACTGTAACAACTCTGAGACACTATAAGCCTAATGATTTCCCTCTGCCTCCTTCTAGTGTTGTTCCCTGGTCACAACAGCAAAGTTTTTACTGAGATCCAGCCACATTGTGGTTCCCTTTAGCAATGAGAGGAACATGGAAGGAGGTGAGTTTTGTTATGATCTAATGAGACAAAAAGGACGTTCAGAAACAATCTTTGCACTTACTGCTATAAGCTCTATCCTGGACTCTCTTAGTTTGGAAAGAGCCAAACAAACCCCACAGTAAAATGCTAGACTTTTTTATTTTCTTGTTTCCAATCTCCTCCTTTTTTTTAATAAATAAAAACCCCACAGAAATCTACATTTAGAATTGAAAAGCAAACCATAAAATTCATAGGTAAAAAAAAAAAAAAAGCCTAAGCTTACCCTGGCACTGGAGCCATGCATTTGTTCGTACCTGCTTGTGCAAATGCGCCCTGAAGGGTAAGTTTCACATCAAAAACGTGCCAGAGCTCTCAACAGCTCTGGAGATGGATTGCTCTGTAAAGCAACAAGGCCCTGAAAACTAAATGAGAACCCTTTCCCTGTTCTTGTCTTACTTGAAATTACTTGAAATTTTTATCACATTGCAACAACTCACTGTTACAATACAAGTATGTCCATGAGGTTTGTCCACCAGTGCAGTAGGATAGTAAAACAGTGACATAGTTATATTAGCACTAAAAAGAGCATTAAGTCTATTTACCTTCAGATGCTGTACCACAACCTATTCCATAGAATCACATAGAATACCTTTTCCACCCCACAGTCCCTTATAGACCCATTATAGGGATCTTAAATTTATTACCGTCTTCTTTCTGCAGATTTCTTTCGATGGTAGACACACATGATGCACAGGTCATGCCTGTGATTTGCAAAAAACACTTTTCAGCTGTTGCTCCACTGGGCTGGTTTGACTCATCCAGGTGATGACTGTCTGGAAGAGCATCCAAGACACAGCCTTGGTGAGGAGGCTCTGGAGCTCGAGGCTGCACCGCAGCTTTGCTGGCATTAGGCTGGTGCCTATGTTCTGCAGTGGAGGTATCTTGAATAAATACACAAATACACCGAACAAACACTATTTACAGTGTGATTGGATGATGCAAAAGTTCAAACAAGTCACACATACCAATCACGCAAATCCTCACAGTAGTTTGAAAGGTGACCCAGTAACCTTGATCTCTACATGGAAATAGTGTATATTATTCCTAGGCTTATAAAACTATACACTCACCAGTACCACCTGCATGATCATTTAACTCTACAGAACTAGTTCTACACTTTCAGATGACAAATGATTCCCCTTAATTTCAATGCCTAGATCTGACATCTACCTCCACGTGATAAAGATACCTAGAGGGTCACTATCCAGCACAGAGAATTCAGTCCAGTCATAATCCATTCTGTTGTTGTTGTCATCTATGCAGGACTCATAGCATTTCATCTCAAACAAGGAAAAGGTCAAGTTTCTTAACAGGTTTCTCTTTATGGTGCAGTATTTACACTGCAAGTAGTGCAAAAGGAGTAGTGGAAGCACCCAGGAGACCTCAACACAAACAGGCCTGTTGTAATCATTTTTGTTCTTTACCAGACATCAAACAGACACGCAACAGCTCCAGCTATGTTCACAAACTGCCTCCTTTGTGTAAAGGAGCAGGAGTTGCTTTTGAATGTGTTAAACACAGGGGATTCCCTCCTTTCCCGCAGATGGATTGGGAGGTCTCGTACTAAAAAATTACAAACCAAACAAATAATAATTAAATGCCACATACCGGCCCTGCCTCATTTGTAGTAGTACCACAGATTCAGAGGGTTTGGATGCATGAAAGAAGTGAATAGGATGTGGTTTGTTGTGATCAAACTAATTAATTTCAGGTAAACTACATCACTATTTCAAAGCAAATCTGTTTAGTTTGAAGCAGGTAAAAACTGCTACATTTGAAATTCACTAGAGAGGAGACTGTGCATCAAAGCAACTTTTTAAACACTGAGCACAGGTACAAAATGAACACACTGCTGCAGCTGATATGTAAAAGCAGCTGTTCCCACCAAAGAGTATCTGCATCTTGCCACTTATCATGCTTGAAGGAAGGTTTAGTGAAGTAAGGCAGGTAAAAATACTCAAGAAATAAAGGTCAAAGGATTAAGACACCAAAAAGAGGTTTTAACTAGGTGAAAAGTGGTTTTAAATGAAAGAGATTTCATCAAGTTTGTAGGTTTTAGTATTCTGGAACATAAATGAAAACATTTGGTTTGATAGACCTACTTACAGCACCCTGTAGACATAGTAGGAAACTTACTTCAGTGGGTAAGGGCATGAGCTGTTTGAAAGACCTTGTACCAACTCTCAAATATTTTGGTATCATAACACAACTCAACTCTTACACCCATTAGTGCGGTTATGAATGCCTGAAACAAGGTGCTTTACAGCTGAAACCTCTCTCCCTTGCTAAGTGATGTCAGATCAGGCCAGTCATTCAGAAAAGACAATGCCAATGTGATGCTTTAAGAGTTTCTCTCTAGAAGAGAATTTCAAAGCAGGTGTCACACAGCCCAGCCTGGCATGCTACCCACAGAAAAAAACCACTGTTACCTGTCAGCACTGAAGCATCAAATCCCATGTCTTCTATGGCAGCTCTTAACTCTTCGCCGTTAGTGACAGCTGGATCATAATGTATGGTTCCAGTACTGCCAGCTAGAGAAACTGCTACCTGTTGCACTCCTTGTCTCTCTGATATGGTCCCTTCTATGGACTGTGCACAAGAATTGCAGGTCATGCCATCAATCTTAATAACAACCATGCACATCGGGTCTTGCAGTGGCTGTTTGATGAGATCACCTGTGAAAGCAGGTGATGGAGATGCTCCTTTATTTGCTTCTGAACCACTAAGGAGACATACTTTAAAGTTTCCAGGTGGAAGGGATTCAATAGCTTGCTGCAGAGCTGACAGGGTGATTAAATTTGGGCTATACTCTACCACAGCACATTTTTGCTCCAAAGACACTTTAATACTTTTTATTCCAGGAATAGCTGATATATTTCCTTCAATGTTTCTGACACAGGACTTGCAGTGCATGCCTTCTATCTGTACAGTCACCGTAGCTGTGCTGCTCATCTCAGCAACCAGTGGATCCAACACATCACCCTCAAAACTTGCTGGTGTCTTCTCGGGGTTTGCATTCTGCAAGCGCTGGAGATCAAGGACACCCAGCTTCAAAGGGGCTGATTTACTTTTAATAGTGCAGTCATACCCCAGGTTATTGATGTGTCTCTTGAGGTCATCAGGGTGAATGATGTAAGGATAGTAAGCAATAATTGCTTCCTGGTTACCAAGTGACACCTTGATTTTTGCTACACCATGCAGTTTCCTAATCTTTCCTTCAATGCTGGTGACACAGGACTGGCATGTCATGCCTTCTACGCGAAGCTTAACTACTGCTTCTTTCAAGCTCGACAGATTTATGGTTGCTGTTGTCAACTTCTCTTCTGCTATGTTGGCATCAAAGCCCATATCCTGAATTTCCAGGCAAATCTGATCCGGACTTATTTCCAACTGCAGATACTTGATAACAGCATTGTTCTGTTCACGGGAGACTTTAATACTCACAATGCCCTTCACCTTGGAAATCCGGCCTTCTATTGCCTGCACACATGATTGGCAAGTCATTCCCACAATGTTGATTGTCACAGTACGTTCTTGGGAAGATGGAGTGGTTTCAAAGCTCTCCTCGTAGCCCATGTTGTCAAAAGCAAAATTATGTTTCATTGTAGGCTCCAGCTCACAGCCAGGAGGAGAATCAATGTTTGACAAAGCCTAAGGAGAAAGAGGAAGAGTAAAAATAAATGCCTGTATCTTCAGCCCTGTATACGCTGCAATGGTCTGCATATGCTCTGAAGCACATGCTAGAAGTGTTCTCAAGTCAGTCTATAGTGCTGAAACACTTCACAACATTAACCCATGATGATGAATCAGGCCTCTGACACATTTCTTAAGTAGCAATTTAAAAACTATTCACTAGGGATGTAAAACCAGAATTGATTCAGTATTCCTACCCCAACCAAATAATTTAAAACTTGAGCTCTCTGCAGCAACAGGGCACTTCCATCACAAAGCCTGAGCCCTGCTCTTCAGAGCACACTGTCACTGGCACAATGGGTCACAGTAGAGTGTATGCTGACTGCCTCTCCACCAATGTCCTAAACTGCCTGAGTTTGGCCAACCTGCTCCTGCTCATCGGGAGTTCCAACCAAACCAAACCACATCAAAACAAAAAGCCCAAGAAAACAGAATCATGAATCTCCCAGAAGCTTGAAACAAGCTGGTGCAGGGAGGACCAGCTGCATGATATTTGAAGAGTAGGGTCTCTTTTAAGTTAAAATCTATATCTGACAAAGATCTTAAAAGACACAGAACTATATGCAGATATTTCCACTTACCGACTTGTGAGGCACGTAAGAAAGACTATAAATTGAGCTACTCACTGGTTTGATCCAACACTGATTTTCAGGATGGCAAGTACTGAAACAGATCAGTCAGATCATGGGCTCTGCAGTACTGAAACTCTACAGTTGAATGCACTCAATTCAATTGAAAATCAAGTATTAAAAAAAATAAAAATAACAGCAATGCTTCTCACAGAACAGGTATTCAGAGCACAGACTCTGTCTCCAGTTAGTGGCACCATGTGATGAGGAAGATTGAGAAAGGGAGGGACAAGTTCCAGATTGTCAGATTTCATGGAAAGAACATAAAAATTCATGTCCATGACTTAAGTCAGTTTTAAATACTAAAGATCTAGATGAAAGCAACTATGATAAATCTATTCTCTTGCCAGCAAAGCTGTGGAATCTCCAGCATTCAATAAAACACCTGATGCTGGGCATTACTGCAGAGAGGGCCTGGAGAAGGGGCCAACAGATTAGGCTCAGTACTGCAACTCTTATTCCTATGACCCATCAGAAAACTCCCTCCTCAATACCACAGCATGGATGAGAAGCATTTAGGCTGCTTATTAACACTAGAATGCATCCAGTTCATTTGATGCAGAATTCAAAATTCATTAACTTGATTTTGTTTCATGCTTAGACAGCTTGGGAATAATGAGGTCTGAGGTCACAACCAGAACAGTAAAAATTTAACACAAGAAATTTTCTTTCAGCTTTTCCTGTACTGTATTTGTTATAACAGGAGGAGGAATGAGCAACTTCAACTCTTCAGCAATTATGGTGCAGCCCCTCACTATCCCAACAGCAAGCTGGGGAAGAAGACTCACAGGAATATTTTAGTCCTGACATCCCCTTTTGCTTCCTCCTCCCACAGGCCTGGCAGCACTCAGGACCCATAACCCTCTCCTTGCACTTCCCTTCCCAGAAGTTACTGAAATCCCCAAAATATGTGAAAATGTGCAACCACGCCCTCCTTTCAAAACAAAACATTAACAGTTAATCAGACTTCCCTGCATGGATGGTTTCCTGTTTAAGCACAAAGACGACCAAGATGCCCATATTCTTATTTCCTTCTATCTGTGACTTCCCACAATTTGAAATAATAACCTGGCCTTGTATAAGGAAAATAAATCCATCTAAAAACAGTCTCTCATCCACCACATTTCAAATGCTTAGACAGCTCAAACTGTTGTTTATTGTAAAATCTGCCTCAAGAAATGTTTTTTGAATATTGTACCTCATCTCCTCTCCCTTATCCTCAGTCCCTCAAGGACACTTTGCTTGCTGTGGCCCCCTCTTCTTATCACAAACACCCAGTGAAGCACAAATCCGCTTGAGAGTTACAGAAGCTCACCCAGTGCGTTTATTTTGGCTCATATGACAAAGGCATTTGCCTTCTGCATCCTTTGGCGAAACAGAGCGTGAGAAATGGGCAAGACAAACATGCTCTGCTCTCCTGCTTCCCCTCACTGTGTTTCTGGCAGCCGCTTGCAGATGAAACCCAGGAACTATCAGCAGACTTATGTAGTCCACTGTTCCCTCCACCCTCATTCTCACCAACTGTCTCATCTTTCCGAAGTACCCAGTGATATAAAAGCATTTCAAATTAAATAGAAAAAAAAGATTAAAGGGTATTTCTTGTCCTCCAGCCATGCGAAAAGCATAAAAGCAAGGACTGGTTCTACTATTTCAATGCATTGTAAGCCACAGAAACATCAAAACTTGGCTGCTGCTTTATATTTTGCATAAAAGGCTATTATCAACATTCAACGAATTGTCAAAAATATTTTGTTTGCTACTTTACAAAACCAGATGTTTATAGTCCGTAGGAGAAAAATTCTTGCACGCAAATTTTTAAATGACAAGGAAAACATAGAGAGGGGACATGGATATAAGAAAAATACAAAGCTTATTTCCCTTAAAACCCCACCACCAAACACACAAATGCAAAATCATTGAAGAATTTTCCCCCAAACCCAAGAAATGTGCACAGGAACAAATAAAGTATTTACAAAGCCTTTACTATTGTCTAACAGCTTCAAAAAACCCCACAAACTGAAGGGGCATAAATACATCTATGTGTGTATTTGCAAGATGGGTGTTCCTACACCAGAGGAAAACAGCAGATTCATGTAAGGACATGAAGACGAGTGATATGGAAATGTGCCTGTAGTTTTCCTTAGGCACAAGCTGGGTCTCAGAAGAGGGTTTCCTGATGTCATACACATAAAATGGCATCTATGAGGCTGTATAGTAATTTAGACACCATCTGCAAGAGGATCAGAGAAGCAATCACCACCAAAAATGCCAAAAAAGGTGTCTGGGATTCCCAGGCGCTGCCCCTTCTGCTTGTTTCTGTCTAAAGAGAAATACCAACATAATAGTGGAAATGCTTCTGATTCTGCATCCAGAGGGGAATGTGTGAAAGAACTGGCCACTGTTACTATTTTGTCTCTCACACCAAAGGAGGCCTGCTTACTTTTAAGGACAGGTGTACACCAAGTATGTTGGTGTTCTACCAGTCTCATGCATAATTTTACAGCAGCTATGTAAAGAGTATGTAAATAACGAAACATGAAATGATGACAATTCTTTCCCTCCCTTGTTCTGCACGTAAAAGTTGCAACTGACAATGCACAACAGAGTGAGGCTCTAGTCTGAAAGCTAAGAATCTCAACATAAACAAGTTCATATGAATAATATGGGAAAAAAACCAGAAAAAAATAAAGAAACTCATTGACACAGAAGCAGCAGTAGATGGAGAGAGCTTTAAAGGAAGTGCCAGAGCTGGCTGGAAAACAGTTGCGTCTATAGGAGACAGCTCTGAACTAGACCCGAGATGAGTAGCAATTGAAACTGCTGATGTGCAGGAATATGGCATCTGAAGCCCAGCATCCAGCATGAGGATTTCAAGGCATGAAGAACAACCCTTGATGTCCTTGACAGGAGCTGTAGTACTCATGCCTGTCCAGGAGCAAAGCAGGGCTTATAGACTGCTGGTAGAGGCAGAGGCTCATGCTCCCCATTCTGACTGCCTCCAGCCAGCAAGAAGGAGAACATCCAAAGGGAATATGCTCTGGGGCTGGACTAACTTCTTGTGAAAGCATGGAGGTGGGGCAGGGAGATGCTGCTGGATTGGAAGCACCAAGTCTCAAGCCCTCATATCAGAGCATCCAGAGCTTGTGACAGGTCCGATGGGAAAGGCAGTCACTGCATATGGTCTGTGAGGCTTCTGGGGCAAACCCTCCCATTGAGAGCTGCCCTCAGAGGCCTAGCAGCAGGCTGCTTTGCTGTCCCCCAAAATGGGCTATTCTTTTGGATATTCCCATTCAGATGTGCAAAGTCTAGGAGTTTAATGGAGCAGTGAAGGGATACATAATAAATGTGAGAAAAACAACTGAACTCAGAGGAAAACTCCAAGACAAGGAAACCACAGCACCAGGTGAGACTTTCACATATGCACATATGGTAACCAATATGCTGAGAATGGATGCAACTCCATGGCTGTGAACTAAACACAGCTTGTGCCCTCCTTGGCTTCACGGCCCAGCCACCAGCCACCCTTGGCTGGGTCTCCATGCTGCCTCCACCACTGTGTTCCAAGGGTCGCCCTGTGGAGTGGCTTGTCATCAAGAAAGCCATCCCTCTACCCATTTCCCCTTCCCAAGAGGTGCAGCCACCTCCAAAATGCTAATGTAACACTCCTGTCTTCTGCAGCACAAGGCTGAGGTCGTGGTAGGCGCACCCCACAACTCTCTGAGTATCACCCACACCAAGATCCGGCACAATGCTGCTCCTCTCTGCTCACCCAGCAAGGTTCTCCCCCCATGGCTGGCACTGCTTTCCTGCCCTCCTGCATCTGCCCTGCAGGGATGCCAACTTTCACATCCTGAAATTCAAACACCAGACTCCTCACCATGATGCCAGGCAATCAGCCAGTGAGAAGATGGGGCCCAGCCCATCGAGCACCTCCCCCTCTGCCTCTTCCCACCCACTCATTTATAAATACCAGAGCTCACTGAACCTCTCACGCACTATCTCCAGAGGTTTTGGGCTGCTCTTCTCCTTGTATCTCTGTGGGCTGAAACCAGTTATTGCTCTCTTACCTTTGAGCACACAACCACCAAGGAATTATCTTATCTGTGCTTTACCTTTCCTGCTTCCTTCTTTCACAACCCTCTGATTCATGGCTTTGGATTCAGGCAGGCAGCAACACACAACTGAAAAGCCACACTCTATTAATTAAATGCTTCAGATGTTTCCCAGTTTATTATAGGCAGGCAGTGAACAAAAAAATGAGGGCAGAGCAGCCACAAGAATATCAAAGGTCACAAGTCTTCCATTTCATGCCTACAACAGCGCTTCTGAGGGCAGACATTCAATCCTTATCCTCCTTAATAATTTCCAGTGCAACTTGTCCATCCATCTTATTAGTGAATATTCTTTAAATATATTAGATCTTAACAGTTGTTCTTCCTTCTGTCTTCCTTCAAATGAAGATTAACAAATGTCAGTAGCTACTATTTTCAGTAACTACTTGTAACGCAATTTGTTATTTTTCAAACAGTTCCTGAGTCTTAAAAGATGGAAATAACACCCTCTAAACCTGGATATCAAGATTCAATGAGAATATTATTACAAAGCAGCCTTTATGGGACTTTTGTTTCCAAAATACTAAATTAATTACCTTAATGCTTCTTCAAAGTGACTGCTATTCCCCATTTATGATCAGGTTTCTCTGTCAGTACAGATGATGGGGAAAGATTTAGGCAGTGAGAGCTAGTCTTACTGAAATCACACCTACTGTAGTTAACAAACCTTAAGAGACCTTAACAGCTAGTTTTAAATTAAAGGGAGCTGTATAAACCACATTTGCTTTATGGGAAAGGGGAAAGCCTTGCTGTATATGCAATGTTTCTAATTTAGAATTAAAACAATGCAAAACTCTCTTTGATGTTCTTCACAGCTCCAATACAAGCAACACATATATTCCAGTGAACTGAATATAGAGAAGAGATCCTCTGGCAGAACAAAGTCATTTTTGTCATGATTGTTTTCTAGCAAACATTTATAATACAAGAAATAATTCAAGGCAGAAAAAGCCTTCAGGTATATTTGGTCGGTCCTGGCTGACATTTCATTCCAGTCTGACACTAATTATTTAAGCCATTCTAAGCATACACAGTTTCAAAGAACACATTTTTTCTGAGAGTTTCTTTTCCTTGAATATTTCCAATATTCACTGGCCCAAACTACATTACTGCAGTTTACATACCTTTTAAACAGCAAAAACTCTTTTAAAAATAATAAACTTTATCATGTTTTTATCAGCACTGATCTTTCTAAGCCTCTTTTTCATAGCAGTTAATCTACAAAAATACCATAGTTATATATAACACTGAATTTAAAAAAAGTTGCCACAGATACATTTATCACAAACTTTCACTAGCACCCACTTAGTAGATATAAATAAACTACTTACCTACAAGGACTTTTTAATGTTTCTTCAATTTCTGTTATTCCAGAGAATAAACCGGTATGAGCTTCTGTCAAACTACTCAAGTAATTGCAGTTCAAAAGGAGAAATACTATGTTTCCTTCCTAAGAATCACCACTCTGTATTATTAGAGGTGGAGCTGAAACAATGCTCATTAGTTTCTACCGCATAACTCATCATTAACATCTGCTTTCAAAGATTACTTTCAGAGGATCTCCAGAGGACTTTGCATTTGTGTACTGCTTGCTATGGGGCTGCCATCTGTGCTGGGGATTGAGACAATTTAGATAAAGAAAGTTTAACGTCCTTTAATATACAACCCATGTCCAACATGCTTTGTTTTAAATTCTCCAGATCAGAAACACTACTTCCCTCCCAACATGCGCACACACACCAGCTCACTGACCTGTCTTTCAACTGTATTGACTTCTGGCATTCCCATGGAGTAACTCTGCAAAAGTTTCTCTTCTTTCTGCAAGTTACTGCTTGCTTTTACTGGAGATCCAGTCTTGGACTTTTCACCAATAATCAGTAGTTCAGGCACATCATGAGCTGCCTGCTGCTTACGAATAGACATCAGGGTTATGTTTCTGTCGTTTAAAGTAGCTAAGTAGGACAGTTCCCTTTTCATTTTACTGTCCTGTTTTCTCTCCATTATCTTTCTGGATTTTAAATATTGCAGTGCCAAAAAAAAGCTTTATGAGAGCGGTTATTCGGTGTCTTATCAGCCACGCTTCCTTCAGCTACATTTACAACAGCCTGGAGAGTTCTGCCCGTCTAATCAACATGCTCATTAGGCATTCATCACAAAATCCCAGATGTAACCTGTGATCCCTGTGTACACTGCTCGCTGCACTCAGCTACCTGCTTTCCCTGCCAGTTTAAACGTTTCCCACCAATTGGCATCCCTTGTGCTTTCCGAATTGCGTTCAGCACTGCTAATCTCTGCACACGGCGTCGCGGCAGGCTCAGCCAAGGCTGCTTTCACAAGCTAGTCAAACATGACCTGTGTGCAGCAAGCAAGTGCATAATCAGCCCGGCCAGACAGGCATTAGCGCCTTGTGGCCGTGAGCACAATCACAGCTCCTACAGAGGGCAACGCTACTCCATTTCCTTCTATGAAATTGCCAGGGATTTCTTGGATAAAATGTGCTCCCTTCTAACACTGAAAATGTGCCAAATTAGATAACGTACATAATTAGATAAGGCTCTTAGTCTAAAAGTCTTTCACTCATTCAGGGCATGAGAATGTTCATTTTTTGTTTCAAGAGGGAAAACAAAAGAGTGAGTACAATATTTGTATTTTCTAAAACATGCCTCTTTACCATCAGCAAGCTTTACTAAGAAACAACGAACCAAACAAAATTAAACAAGCAATTAGTGCCAGAAAGTAAAGGGAAAAAAAATATATGCTCTCTGGCAAATTCAGTTCCCCTTAGATCCTCTGGACAACAACAGGAACATCTAATTTAGACAGCCATACATATGATAAGTACCATCACTAGAAGTGCCTCGAGCCAAGCTTGAATATATTTCTCTGGGATTGCCCACAGCAAATGCACAGCACTGTGCTAACACACCAAGTGGGATCTCAAGTTCCCTAAGCCCACAGTAGTGCAATCCACTTCTGAAGGCACCCCTGAACAGGGACACTTAAAGAATGGCCATACAGGGAATTTATAAAATATAACTGAAGTGTTAGCAAGTTACACACTCCTTGGCTGTGCAGTGACATCAGTGCATATGCAAGCCTTAAAGTAATTGATTTAAATTTAATCAGAATTTCTTGGACTTGCTGCAAAAAGGCACAGATTTACTCCTATGCAGAGGTTAGCACAGAGGGTGAAAATGTCAGCATATCTCTGTCACCTCAGGAAAACCTATGGGATAGATGACAGACACTCTACCTGTCTGGCAGGACAAATTCAGATTCTTTTTACTTCCAAAAGCAGAAGTACATCCCTCACACTCCTGCCACATTGACAGTGGTCCAGAAAGTCACCATGCAGGACATTAGCATGCTAACTTGTCTTTCTGTTCTAACTTCTCCACAAAGATGGATCCTCAGCTCTGCTCGCTCCATCTAGTTCTTGACTCCACTTCAGAGTTAAGGACCATCTTTGGAAAAAGAAGGTCTTCTGACAATGAAGGGAAACTCAAAATACTGCTGTAGCACTATTTTGTATCATTGTCTTAATATACAAGATCGGTAATAATATTAAATTTTTAAAAAGGGTTATTTTGAAAACATTTTGAGAAATGGTTCCTCTAGAGAGTCACTACAAAGAGTAAAGTATCTCTGTTTGTTCTATGTTTATCAGTGAAACGAATTAGACCTATATCTGACTTCAGCTTGAACACTGCTGAAAATGCAAATTGTGTTAAAGGTGAAATACTTTAAGGAATTACTGATTTTAACTCATTTTGAAACAAGCAATTGAAAATCATACAATTTGACTTACGTGAAAAAATTAAGTACAACATCTTTAAATACTAAAGCTACATCTACATACTAAATACACATATATAAAGTTAAAAACTAATCTTTGTCTTTCTAAAACAAAACAATTCTCTTCCCCCCCAAAAAAGATATTTAGAAATTGAGCTCTGTGTTCTAATTCCAAATAACAACAATTTCGAATTCTAGATTTTCTTAGTCAATAGTAATTTCAGTTTCTGGCCATACCTAAAGTACATTCTCTCAGTTAACTGCCCCTTTGGAGTTTAGGCTACTTGTGCCAGCTGCAAATTGAGGGTAAGTGTTTTAGCTAAGGCTGAAGTAGGAAAGGCAATGTTACTCATCTCATCTGATAGCAGTACCATTCCTCAGTTTAAAGGCAGATTTTGCACAGCCTAGGAGTTTCACCAGGAAGAATCACTCAGGCTTGGTAGCATGAGATTCAGATGGCAAACAGAAAACATGCCTTTTGCCTTCACAGCTCTCTGCTAGTGTTGGGCAAAGATGTTTGCATTTTCATGTCAGAAAATGCAGAACATTCCAATAAAATTAAATCCCTTTGACTTAAGGCCTCAAGAGCTGGTAAAATTCCAGTTTTCCTCTTCATATTACCTGCTACAATCAGACTATATGATAAACACACAAGAACTATGTGTTTTCAGTTAAATTAAGTTTCCTGGGTTCATCAAGCATTCATCCTTGGCTTTATAGGATGTTCTGGCCTGTGTCTAATCCCTCTGGTTCCTTGCCCAAAGAAAGCATATTAAAATAGCGTTAACAATGTCTTGAAAGATGAGATGCTTGGTTCAAGGAAAAAAAATGGGGAGCTGGAGGTAAGAGGGTCATATTGCTTTAATCTGTGTGGGGAAAAAAACCTGAAAAACAAAGTTCAGCAAGAAGGAGAGCATGCGTTGGCTATAGTTCACCAGGAACAAACTGTCTGCACACCTTAGGACCAGAAACACTGAAGGAGCTTGGTGTACCACTCTTAAGAGAGGCATGAAACAAAGGGTGCAGCTGCACAGAGGTGTTGTGGTCATGCTCTGTTTAAAATGATGCAGCTAACAGGAACTAAGCCACAGGAATGACCCAAATGGTGACCAAAAGTTGGCCTTTGTTTCATTAACTCAAAAAAACATACTACTTTTCATGCCTCTGTGTACGCTAACAAATAAAACCTGTACATGCTTTACATGTATGACTAAAGTCATTCAGGCTACACCTAAACATGAAATGATATCAACTTTAACTTTTCTTTTTCCCGTCTCTCAAAGAAAACAATATAAATGTAGCTTAAGTGGGGAAGGAGACCAGAGGAGACTCCACTTTTGTATCCTGGGATGTTTGATGGGATGTACCTATCTCATTCCCCACAGGGATGCCTATGTGGTAAGACTCGAACACACAGTTATATTTAGGGCTTCTTTTGGAAATTTAGAAAGCAAGGTTCTGCTTGTGATTAGACTTTTAGCACTATATAGTCATCTGGCAATTAAACGTATTTGCCACAGGTTATTATTATGTGTTTTATTTATTTATTTATACATTACTTATGTATTCACGCGTGCTCCTGCAGATGATGTATTTATCACCAGCAATCCAATAACAATCTGCATTTCTGTTGCTCAAGAAACAACACCATCTTGCACTTGGCCATGGGAGTTACTGAACACGACCAGACTTCCAAACTGGCCATGAGAGCTCATTGGGCACAACCAGACTTACAGTGTATCACAGTATTTGTGCAACCGTAACCATGGCAGTTCTTACTGAACTCAGCCGGACTTACAGTGCTGCATTGGCTCTGCATTTCTGTTGCTTAGAGCTGAGCTGGCTGTCACTCAGAATCTAAGCCCAGCTGCCCCAAGCCCCTGACATCTGAGACCCACCTGGAACACAAGGGGGTTAGTTTCTGCCAAATCTCCTTCTCTTAACATAACAGAAAGGTTAGCCCTACTCTTAATTTGACGATTTGACAGACAAGAGGAACTGGTTCAGATACATGCACTTTGTGTCAATGCAAAGAGGGATGTATTAGTATTAATACATCACTCTTGAAATCCAGTCTGCCTTTGAATGTTGATCATTTTTCTACTCTCCTCCTCAGACATCATTCTAAACTACCAAAATACAAACCATCCTGAGGCATACAAACAATGATATAAGGGTTAACCACAAGTAATTTCCCATTTGACATATTTTGAGTTATTCTTAATTTTGTCTTCAGAATGCAATCAGCTAAAATGTTTGAATTTTTTCCCCCCCATCTTAACAGAGTTAGATTTGGTTTTGGTTTTTACACATGCAACTGCAGGAAATGGAGCATTAAGTTAAAAAAAAAAGTGGGGAGGGGTAGCAAAGTATTGCAAAGCTTGTAGTAATATCACAAACAACAGTGCTGGTAACTCACAGTTATCAAGAAACTGTTAACAACATTGTTTGAGAGCAAACCGGTGAAACATCCAGCCCTTGTGTGAAACAATTATTTCTCCTCTGTCAGTGCCCTCTTTAAGCCAAAAGAGAAGTAGTTACTAAAGGCATCCACTTTTTCTTCAAACAAATCACTGAACTTGCTCAGTAGTCATTTTGCAGTCCTACAACAGGCAACACAAACCTCACATTTCCCACATGAATCAAACAGTTGCAGCTGAAAGTTCAGTGGAAGCTTGGTCATATTCATGGTACATAACTACATCCCTGACTTCTCCAAACTAACTGACATACTTATTACTGAACATAAAAAAAATGCCATACCTTTCTGTATGGAGAGGCAACAAAACTCTCTTTAAATACATTTGTTCTTAGTTTTGAGCCATGAAATCAGAAAGAACTCTTTGGTTCTAAGAAAACAGGCAGCAACTAGACACACAAGTGCTTCTATAGCATGAATGGGATACAGATTTCTTGAAAGAGATGAAGAAGTGTGTCCATAAGTATTATTATTTCTTACACTGTAAGAAAAAGGGAAAACATCCGAAATACAAGTGATCAAATTCCTACCCGCTATGAATAAAATTGCTTAAGAGTTGATGACCTCATTTCAAATCAAATCAGCTCAGACTTTGGCTTCAGTTCTTCAGGAAGCAGACTGAATCTTCTCTAAATATTTAGAAAGGTTTGTTTGCTCGAAATCAGCAAAACTCAACAAAGCACCTCTTTTGTAACAGGGTCCCAAAACATGTATTGATTTTTTTCATTCCACAGCTTTTTGTATGATTGCAAATTGTGCGGACTTGGTACTTTGTCTGCTCTTAGCAGTGTTGGTTTCATTATGATAATTTCTCTTATCTGTTTATACTGCAGCAATTTGTTTTCAAGGGCCTGGAAACTACTAGGCTGATCATATTACCATAGAAAAAGACACACCTTGTGGGTCAAGGTTTAAGTGCAAAGAACAATTGCAGCCTGCATGAATTAATTCAAGTCAAGATTTCCACTAATGTTCATC